TGGGTCACTTCTGGAAGCCCCTCTACTCTCTGAGGGAGGGGTGGGTCACTTCTGGAAGCCCCTCTGCTCTCTGAGTCTGTTTCTAACTTGGGAGACACTCAGTACCCACAGAGGGAGAAGGCCCCCAAGGCGAACTGAGCCTGCGTGCGAGTTGTCAGAGACCGTACCTGGGTTCCTCCTCTTCTTTCTCTTCTTCACTTTGATTGGTTTCACAACAAGCTCTTGGTCAAAGTCTTCAGAGCTGATCACACTGAATCTCTTGGAGGAGGGCTGGCTGTCCTGCCTGGGTTCTGAGGCAGCAAGGGGCCCAACTGGCAGCAGCCCAGAGCTACTGTCGGTGGAGTTGAGCGAGCTGCTCCGGCTCATGGGCTCACTGGCCACTGAGGAGCCCCGGAGCCGCGTCGCAGACACCAGGGTCCCTGGTGGCTTGTCCAAGCGCTGCACATGGATGTGTTGTGCACACCCTGATGTCTCCAGACTGTCTCTCCCTGAGGAAGAAAAGCTGGGTTTAGGACAAGTTACCCAGGAGGATAGCAAGCGACCTTGCTTGTTGGAAGCAAAGAGAGCTTAAAATACTTACTGATGAAGATCAATGACCACAGCCTTCAATATGGATTACAACTCAATGTAAAGAAAACAAAAATCCTCACCACTGGACCAATAAATAACATCATGATAAACAGAAAAGACTGATGTCTTCAAAGACTTCATTTTCTTTGGATCCACAATCAACACTCATAGAAGCAGCAGTCAGGATATCAAACAACTGCGTCCCAAAACACCTTTATAAAATGTTTAAGAGCAAAGCTGTCAGTTTGTGGACTAAAGTGCACCTGATTCAAGCCGTGGTATTTTCAACAGCTTCATATGCATATGAAAGTTAGAAAAACGAATGAGGAAGACCAGAGAAGAATCAATGTGTTTGAGTTACGGGTGTTGGAGAAGAATATTGAATACACTGTGAGCTGGGAGAATAAACAAACAAATCTGCGTTGGAAGAAGTACAGCCAGAATGATCCTTCGAAGCTGTCTATCCAGCTGTGAGGAGGGATCAGTCCCTGAAGAAGGACATCATGCATGGTTAAGTGGAGAGCCAGCGACAGGAAGAAGGATCCCCAACAAGGTGGACTGACACAACGGCCGTAACAACAGACTCAAACATGACAATTGTCAGGAGGGTGCAGGACCAGAGAGGGTTTTGCTGCACTTGAATCAGGATGCAATGAGTCAAAGCTAACTCAGTGGCACCGAACAACCCAGGAGGAAGTCAATGAGCTGGTCCCCAGGTCTGTGCTCTCCTAGAGGGGACTGGGGGGGGCTTGAGCTGCCAAGAGACAGCAGTTCTAACAGCAAAAGAACCACAAAAGCTAATGTGTGACGATCACAGCCATAAAGGATCCCATTGCATGGATTTGTTCTCCAGCAAGCTCACAGCCATAAAGGATCCCCATTGCATGGATTTGTTCTCCAGCAAGCTCACAGCCATAAAGGATCCCATTGCATGGATTTGTTCTCCAGCAAGCTCATCTGTAAACATCAGTAAAATCACTCAATAATGAGGAAACAGCACTTAGAGCATTCCCACTTGGATTTACAACTTATATCTAAAGAAGTTGATGCCAGTATATCTAACTGGGCTTAGTGAGGCCTCACACTTACACTAAGCCTCGGAATGCACTTGATATTACTTAAGAGGGCGCTGATAAGGAATGGTAATTTCCCTAAAATCAGCCCAGGACAGAGAAGTGCATGGACCACGTCAATGTGGACATTAAGTAAGAGCAGAGTAAGGGTAGGGCGATGGGGGTCAGGTCCCACTAGGGCAACACGAGGAGGCCACCAGGACCAGAAAGGAACTCCTGGCATGGACTACTGTGGCCATCGGCCACCCTTCAGTTCCTGCTCCAGACCCTGGGGATAGATCAGTGAGCACTAGGCTGGCTGCATGCTGCCCAGAGCAGTCTGCAGACCAAGCCGATTGGTCAGCGCAGAGGACAAACAGCAGATCCTGCTGGACAGCAGTGGTCTAGAGCTTAGCCTCTGAGAACCATGTCCCTCCCCTTTCTGGAAGCCACGCCGGCCCCTGATGACACAATTTTAGAGGATCCCCAGCTCATAAACCCACGAGTCCACGCTTATTTACTACCTATAAAAATTATGAGTTTGGGAACAGCTAGAGCGACAGAAGATACATGTTCAAAGAAAGATCAGCAGGAAAAATCCATAACAAAAATGGTAGTATGACTGGCTACTAAAAGAACAAGAAAGTTGTTCACTGGAGAGACAGCAAGGCAAGCAATCAAGTCCTTTCAGGACAAATCCCCTCTAAGACTGAAACTCAAAGGGAACACATGAAAAGGAATGTAGGCTTGCTGGTGACCACATTGGTCTACTGGTGAGTGGAAGAGGGGGAAAGGCAAAAATGAAGAAATGGGCTGAGTTCAGCCATGTTCCATAGACTCTCACTGACCTGGGGATGAGAGAGAGAAGAGGAAAGGCTGGTTGGTACGAAGTGTGGTGAGACCTGGGGACACCTGAGCCCATGGAAAAGGACAGAACCATGGAAGGCTAGAACTGAGAGTGAAGTATCCAGATGATATAAAGTGAGGGGAGACACACAAGAACACACAGTACCCATCTGACAATTTGATGAACTTGACCTATACTTATGGATGTAGTAGCTCAAAATACCAACTGAGAGGGAAGGAGTCTTCACATCAAGCACTAATCCTATCCCCTCTGTACACAGGGTAGGTAGGGACAGGCAACTGGCTACCTAAAATGAGGGGTAATAAAGGCATGACGTGACTGGCTTATAAGTTTTCAAGAGGGAGTTTAGTTTAAGAGTGTGTGTGAGGGGGGTGGCGGGGGGAAGGAGTGTGGGAGGGGGAGACAGAGTCCCCACTGAATAGTTTTCATCTTGTCTAGATGGGTCTGATGAAAAGAGATGGGAATAAGATTCTTATGATTCAATACTGAGTAACTGTTATCCTCACTAGTTATGACTATTACAACTGTAAAGGTACAAGTTCTGTAACAAAAAGGGGAGAGTAGTTAATCTTACAGTCCAGAAACAGAGGACACTAGGACCATCAAGGGAGACGAGCACAGGTAGAATGAGGGACCCTATCCAGAGAAGCAGCGACACCAGAGATGGAGGAGAGATGAGGACAGAGAGCGAGAGAGCGAGAGAGCGAGAGAGCGAGAGCGAGAGCGAGAGCGAGAGCGAGAGAGAGAGAGAGAGAGAGAGAGAGAGAGAGAGAGCAGCTGAGGGCTCTGGACTCATGGAAAGAGAGAGACTGGGTTCTGGCAGCCAGGAGGCAGGATTGCAGAATGTGCCTTTGGTTGTTTAAATTATTACATATTCCTGAGTGTTTTTGTGTATACCCCCCAAACAAACAAACAAACAAAACCAGAGGGAATAGAAACAAATACCGTTGAATGATGATGCACAGATTGTAATCACTGCAATGAAATGATGATGTAAAGCCGATGTTCTCCCATGTAAACTATCACTCAGTTCACAATAAAAACTTAAAAAACACCTATGAGTTTGGAATGATATTTATCCCAACTTTGCCTCTATGGCTCAAGGCCTAATTCCCTCTCTTCTCCTCATCTTTTCCTGAGCCCCCCGCCCCCGCCATGTGCTAAAGGCAGCATAGGAAACACTGCTGACCAGAGCACTTCGCTGTCTCTCCAATCACATCATTTCCGGTGCTACACAGCTGGCTAACACGTGAGACTGTTCTCTCTCCTGTCGGCCCCATGTCCTGTGTGTAGTCTAGCACAGCAAGATGATGGAAGGCTGCTGTCCAGCCAATTCTGGCTCACTATTAGTGACACCACTGGACAGAGTAGCGCTCCTTATGGTCCTCGAGGCTGTAAATATTTACGGATTACACAGCCTTACTCTTCTGTGGAGCGGCTGGTGAGTGTGAACCACCAACCCTGTGGTCAGCTGCTTAACCCACCACACCACCAGGTGGGCTGTAGTGCATCCTAGATCAAGTCTCTGTGTAAGACGCACACTTGCCCGCCCACCGTGGCCCTGAGTGTTCCCAGGTGGGTGCCCGTTTGCTCTCGGCGGCAGCACTCCCCTTAGACGAGGCTTAGGGGGAAGCCACAGTGAAGGAGCCCCCTGCTGTCCAGAGCTATGACAAAGCCTCGGCTGTCTGACCTTGACCCAGGGAGGCAGTAAGAACTGGGACTGACACAGAAACCTGGAGAAGGGCAGTGGCCTTGGGCTCGCTTGTCACTCACTGGCCACCTGTGTCTTTTGGGTGAAAAGGACACTGTTCATGAACAGACACTGTCTGAGGGCCTACTATGGCCACGTGCTACACAGGGTCTCGGGACAGTCACATAAAACCCTTGTTCTCAAAACACTTATTACTCCGTGGGGAGGTAAATACAAAGTCAAATCAGAGGTCAGAAGGGAAGAAATAAGAAATACAATGGCCCACAGGTGTTCCGTGAAGAGGGGGAGAGAGTGGCTCAGGCCTGTGGGTGCAGAGGGAAGGCCTGCTGCAGTGTGGTAGAAGTCACAGACTAGAGATTAGAGGGCCGTCCACACACACTCCCCCAGAGACATGAGCCCGGCCACACCAGTCGTGGGGGAAGATGGACTGGCAGGGAGACCTGGCTGGACTCTCCTCAATGACCTGTCACAAAGAGGCCAGCAGGATGCCTGTGGAATCACCCTCTGCTCACTCTGGAGGCTATAAAGGTGGCTCTGGCCAGCTAGCTTCTCCTCCTCCTTTCTGGGCCTGAGTTTCCTTTATCCTTGGAGTCAGGACCTTCCTGATGGGCTGTTTTGGGGATTTCAAGAGATGGAGAAAGCTAAGTCCTTAGCACAGTTGCTGGCCAGAGCAAGCACAGAGTAGGTGGTGACAGTGATGATGAAGTAGGGGCCCACACAACTGTTGTTGTCATCTCAGGAACAAGCCGACCAATGAGCACATGGAGGCGTGCAAGAGAAGAGCTGGTCAGCTCCTGGGCCCCGGCCTCTGGGCTTGTATGGCATGTATGAAGCATGTCAGCAGCACAGAGGAGTCCATGAGGAAGAACACGTAAAGGGTAAAGGTGTGTCCCAGACGACAGACCTAAATGTGCCAATATCTTGTCTCTGGGAACTGTAATCCCATTTAATACCCCACACAGGGTGTCAAGGATCAAAAAAATGGTTCTGAATTCACCTTCCTACTAACTCAACTTCCACATCTTTCAAGATCTCGGACGTAACTCTATCACATGCACAAGTCTTAAAGTCAGGTCACTTTCCAGAAAAGATTGTACACAGCATTATGAGATTCATACGAAACCCTTGTTTAAACACAGTGATAGTAATTTACAAGTAGCAAAACAATAGCAGGTTTAATTTGACCTAGCTTTGAAGGCTTGATGATCAGAACTCTAACAGAGGAAGATAAAGAAATTTGATAAAGGAAACAAGTGAAAACTGCTACAATTTGATGAACTTGACCTATACTTATGGATGTAGTAGCTCAAAACTGAGAGGGAAGGAGTCTTCACATCAAGGATCAATCCTAACTACTCTGTACACAGGGTTGATAGGGGCAGGCAACTTAAGATACTGGCTACCTAAAATGGGAGGTCTATAGGCACAAAGTGGCTGGCTTACAAGTTTTCAAGAGGGAGTTTAGTTTCCGAGTGTGTGTGGGAAGGTAGAATCCCCACTGAAGAGTTTTCATCTTGTCTAGACAGGTCTGGTGAAAGGAGATGGGGATAAGATTCTTATGATTCAATAGTGAGTAACTGTTATCATAATGAATTGCTATCGTCACAACTGTAAAGTCAGAAGTTTTATCACATAAAGTGGGAAGTAGTCAGTCTTCCATTCCAAGAACTGAGGACCCTAGGACCATCAAGGGAGAAGCACATGAGCGGAATGTGAGACCCTATTCAGAGAAGCAGTGACACCAGAGATGGAGGCAGAGACGGGGACATGAAGAGATAGAGCAGCTGAGGACTCTAGACTCATGGAAAGTGAAAGGCTGGGTGCTGGCGGCCAAGAGACAGGCTTGCAGAATGTGCCTTGGGTTGTTTAAATGATTATATATTCCTGAGTGTTTTTGTGTACATCAGAAACAAACAAACAAAAACAGAGGGAAGAGAAGCAAATACTGTTGAATGGTGATGCATGGAGGGGATTGTAATCATTGCAATGAAACAAAATACAATAGGATGAGTATAAAACTGATGTTCTCTCATGTAAACTATCACTCAATTCACAATAAAAGCTTTTAAAAACAAAACAAAACAAAACAACTGCAGCAAGTTTAGAAGCTGCAATTACATACAAGAGAGTGCTGCGTTTCCCTGACACATACAGGCCGCTGTCTAACACATACAAACCTAGTGAGGTGGATCCTTCAGGCCTGCTCGAAATTCTGATAATGTTCCGATCACCTTTGAGGAGAAATATTTCATTGTCTGTGCAGGAAACAGACACAATATCACCTGCTCCTTCCAAGCCTGCAATTGTGACCTGTCACAACAAAAAAGTCACCAAGTCAGGAGACGGAGATAGTGTTATGTATAAGCGCATGCGTGAGACTACAAATAAGTCTAACAGCTAGGAGCTGTGTTTTAGGGCAAATTGTTATTACAGAACAACAAGTCAGTCTAATAATAATTGCACTTTGCTATGATCATTTTCTGAAAATTCTTAAGAGAAATGCAATCACCTCACAGAGAAGTGGACTGTTGTCAGCAGTGCACTGACATGACAGGGACAGCAGTCTTCTCCCACCACCAGCCCCTGGGGGACCCATGTCCCTACCCTGTGAAAACCGGAGCTCATCTCCCTGGTGTGCTGGGTCTCACACCACTGCCCCTGCCCCCTCTGCCCCGCCTCAGGTGCCTGTCCTCCTCCGAGGCTGTGCCTCTGGCAGGCACCATTCCCCGGGCTTCACTTCCTCTCCTGCCTGCTCACTGGGGCTGTGCGAACCATGTCCAGAAACTCCCTCTGTGGGGAGCTTCTTTTCTAAGCAGCTCACCCCCAGGAAGACCCAGGGCTCCTACACAGGTCAAATCACTTTATTACAGTGTAGGGAGGTGAAAGGTTAGTCAAAACCGTGGTTAAAATAAGTAAGAACAAGGCTCAGGGTTGCTCAATGGACACAGGGAGGCGCCCCCTGGGTAGGCCGGCATGATGTGGACAGGTCTAGACCCCTATACTGTGGTCTCCCGTGGGGGAGCTGAGTCTGTGAACCGAACAGTGGGAGGGACGGTTCCCCTACATTACGTGGTAGTAGACAGCAAGCCAGCCATTCTGAGATCATACGGATTACAGAAAGCCTCTTTCTTCCCAGTCAACAGAGCAAATCAGAGACTCTTTATCTTCTTAAAGAGTCTCGACCGCTGTTGCTAATTCTACAGTATCTTCCTGTCCAGCAAGAAACATGACAGGCACTGCCGGAGCTGCCAGTCACCGTGGTGTTGCCATGGAGAGGAGCGGGCTCTGATCATGGCCAGCAGCCTTTGATCATGGACAGACCTATAATTCCTAGGAGTCCCTCTGTCTCCATGCTCTCCTTATTAAATGAAGTTAATTATACCTACTAGATGGATGAAAAGAACTGATACATAGGTACACAGTGTCTGGACCCCAATAATTAACGAGAATACCTAAGTTCCAAAGGGAGATGGGAAAGAGAAAAGTTCAGTTCTCTCTGTAACTGGGGAAGAGGGCACAGATGCTCTTCAAAATGTCCCATAATGAAAGCAATAGACTTGGGGGCCAAAATTCAAACCCTCGCCTTCCCCATTTCACAGATGAGGAAAGTAGGCTCAGGCAGGTTAGAGATGCCCAGTGACAGCATGGTTAAACACACTTGCCTGGCTGCTCACCAGCAGCTCCACAGGAGAAAGATGGAGCAGTCTGAGTCTGTGAATTAGGGTCCTGCAGGGTGCCTGGTATGGCGCGGGAGGACAAGCACTGGACCACAAGGTCACTGGACTAGCACAATCAGCACCTCAAGCTGACCAGCTGCTCCTCAGAAACCCTACTCAGGGTCACTATGAGTCGGAACCAGCTGGACGGTATTTAACAACAGCAACAGAGGGCATAACCACGGTGTTAGAATCTAGTCTGATTCTGCCCTCCTGGGTGACTGTGTCTGTACTAAACTAGTATTGTCAGGCATGGCTGATGACAATAATTAAGAGGCCTTCGGTGAGGACGAGATGAAGGAGACCAGAAATTTCATTTTTTGTTGACACAAACAGTCTCTGAAGACAAGGCCCCTCTCACCGGGTCCAAGAAGGAGGAATACCAGCTGGGGGAGGTCTAGTCTGAAGTGTTGTGGCACCGACGAGGAGACAATGAAACCAAACAGTTGCTTTTTTCAAAGTCCCTGAGTCAGCCTACACTCACCGCCTGTTAACACCCTGATTTCAACAGGGGCAGCTTCCCACCAGGATTTTATGAAGCTGTAAAATGGTCCAAGGCACATTAAGTACAGAAGACGCAGTAGAAACGACTGGCAAAACAACATGGCTCTTTATGAATCAGGAAGAAAAAAAAAAATGCAAAAGAACATGGAGGAGAAAGCAAGCTGGAGAAAGAGCCCTGTGCGCAGGCAGCGGCTGTCCTGGCAGGAGCTGCAGCTACCAGTCTTCTGGTTCCTGTTTCCCCCACATTTGAGTCACAGTAATTTGACAGTCAGAGAAAATATGATCCCAATAGATTATAATTTCCTGTTTAAATAATAATAAAACACACACACACACACACATTATTTCTTGGTGAAGGGTTGTTGTTGGTGGTGTGCCGTGGAGTTGGTTCCAACTCATAGGGACCCTGAATAGGGTTTCTGAGGTTGTAAATCTTTATGGGAGCAGAAAGTCTCATCTTTCTCCCCCAGAATGGCTGGTAGTTTCAATCTGCCTGAGGTTAGCAGCCCGACTCGGGTTATGCTACTAGAGTTCCTTGGTGAAGGGACAGGGTTGTGATTATCTAAACAAAGTGTTTTTCTAAATCTACCAATATTGTTGGGTGCCACTGAGTCGAGTCTGACTCGTAGCGACCCCGTGTGTCAGAAATGGGCCATAAGGCTTTGTAGGCCTTCTCCTGTGGAGATGCAGGGTGGGTTTGAAGCCCCAACCTTTCAGTCAGCAGCAGAGTGATTAACTGATGCACCACCAGGGCCCCTCTACACACACTACCAGGCCTTTATTGGGTTTTACTGGTGAGCGCCAATGTAACTGCCAGGCCTGAGAAGCATTGCAGTCGCTGCTGATGCTCCACAGAGGCGCCATCACAGCCCATACCTGGTTGACCGTGTCCAGAAGATAGACACTATATTCATTCCAGCTCAGCACCCAGCCTTCTTGAAAGAAACACGAGACCAGCCCTAGGTGCTTCTCGGGCATGCTGCAGCTCGTCCCATCAGCGGGCTCCAGGCGCGGGTACAGTTCAAACGGCTTGACGCCCCCGGCGAAGACGTCTTTCAGGATGAATGTGGCCTGGACGGTTCCCTGGACGTCAGCCTTCCATAGTCGCAGCCCGGGCCTTGATGCATACAGGGTTAGATCACTCTGCTTACAGAGTCCTGGTATAAAGCAAGCACCGAATTTCCCAGCGCTGAAATGGGGAGAGAAAGCAAACACAGAGACTGATTTAAGAGACAGCTGGAAAGTCCTGAAATGAACAACAAGGGAAATGAACTCCAAGTCCTGAAATGAACTGACAAAGGCCAAACAAGGCAGATCTTGCCCTTTTCTATCTTTTGTGTTTTCGTTAATTAAATTACTGTCATCCCTGCTTCAGAAAAGAGGAAGCGGTTTGCTCCTATAAAGTCAGAAACCCTACACAGGGTTGTCATGTGCTGGAATAGACTCAATGGCTTTAGTTTGTTTGATTTTTATCATCCCTGGGGGAGTTCTGGAAGGGGAGGAGGGACCAAAAATGTGTTTGGTTGCTAACCAAACATATAGAGGGTCATGTCCAGTCAGGGGTGCCTTAGAAGAAACCCAGCCACTGAAAACCCTATGGAGCAGAGTTCAATTCTGCACACATGGGGTTGCAAGGAGTTGGGGCCAACTAGACAGCATGGGTACTGATGCCTGGGGTACTCATCATCCTATCAGCTGACAGCACCTACAAGCTCTGCTATGGATCCATGTTCCACTTCTACCAGAATTCATGTTTTCAGAACCGTATTTCCAGTTCTCTCTTCACAACACTTTTCCAAGATCGACAGTAAAAAGAGCGCTGCCTTTCGCCTAAGACCCCAGGCCACCAGCCTCCTTCCTGCACCTCAACCATCCCAAGCCCAGGCCAACCTGGTGTCAGAGCTGCTGTTCCCTCAGCCTGGAATGCTCTACCTGCTGAAGACCTTCCCCTGCAATCCCATCTGCCCCGACTACTTTCCTGAAGCATTGTGATGATGTACTTAGTTCTACGGCTATGGGCTGTCTCTTCTGTCATGAGGGGCCAGGAGGGCTAGGTCCTGTCTGTCAACTTGTCTGTCCTCTCCCTCACTGCGTGCCACTGTCTAGGGTGCGCACACCAGGCGTCAGCAGACACCTGCTGACTGAATGATTGGGTGACTTGTGAATGAAGCATTCCAGGGGCAGACACGCCCATGTCCTTTTGTAACTACCATCGGAAACGGCACACAACCGAGATACAAGCCTTTAAGGCACGTTGCTTTCCAGTTCCCCTTTTGGTGTGAGTGGTACTGAGTTCAACAGAGTGTGCGTCCTCCAACAACAGGCTCATTCTGACTGGACTCTAAATGCTGGAACAGGGCCGGGCACTGAGCATGCTTTCCATCAATGACTCTAGGAGACGCAGCTGCTCCCAGGCCCAAGAGGGTCACAGAGGGCCAAGACTCCCTTCAAGAGGTCAGAGGTCATGTTTGAAAAGAAAGACTGTCAGGCACACAATCCATGGGAAAGGCAATCAATTTGGTAATCCCTCTTTACATTTTGCCTTCTTTCCAAAAAGTCCTTGGATGGTGGAAATGGTTAACGTGCTCGGCTATTATCTGAAAGGTCGGAGGTCTGACTCCACTCAGATGTGGCGTGGAAGAAAGGCCTGGTGATCTCCTTCCAGAAATCAGTTACAGAAAACTACAGAGTGCACATTCTACTCTGATATACAGGGGTTGCCTTAAATCAAAGTCAGCTTGATGACTTCTGCTTGGTTCTTCCCAAAAGATATGGCGCAGGAGAACGTCACCGGACCAGGCGCTGGGGGCAAAGGGCAGAGGACATGGCGCAGGAGAAGGTCCGCAGACCAGGCGCTGGGGGCACAGGGCAGAGGACATGGCGCAGGAGAAGGTCCGCAGACCAGGCGCTGGGGGCACAGGGCAGAGGACATGGCGCAGGAGAATGTCATGGACCAGGCGCTGGGGGTACAGGGCAGAGGACATGGTACAGGAGAAGGTCCGCAGACCAGGCAGAAGAGCAGGCTGTGGAATTCTGCAGTCAGCAGCCCTACACTCCAAACTCTGCTGATGGCTCAAGGGTCAAGTCAGGAGACTATGCATACAAGGGCCAATTGTGGGTGAATTAACAGGGGGTCAGATGCAAGAGCCTCTGTAACAGCTGGTGGGCCGCCATGCAGAGAGAATAATAAGCTTCCCTGTGCTCCCCAGCCCAGCACACAGGAGGATGGGAGCACACAGCTGTGAGGGTTCCTATCATCTGACCTCACCAACTGCTTCCAGAACCATCACAGGAGGGCACTGCCAGGCTCATCCCCAACTCGACAACCCTGACCAAACAGATCGGCACCGCCAGGCTCGGGACACCCTGACACTGACCCATCTCACAGACAGGCACAGCAGGGCCTTGCCTCTACTCCCCCACCTGACACAGGCAGGCACCACCGGCCTTGGATCCTGACCTGACACCTCCGACCATCACAGATGGGCACCACAGCCTTGCCCTATACCCAGACCCATCACTGATGGGCACCTCACCCCCCTCCCTGCCCTGACACAGGCGGGTACTGCAGCCTGACCCCAACCCCCACCTTGATACAGACAGGCACTGCCGGCTTAGCCATCCCCCAGACCCATCAGATGGGCACCACCAGCCTTGCCCCCACCTCGTGGCCTAACCCCCACTCTGTCAGGTAGGCACGGCCAGCCTAGGCACCACCCTGACCCGACAGATGGGCACCCAGCCTTGGTGGGCCTCACCGACGCCTGGTCTACTCCCCCATTTCTACAGCACCCAGCCTGAGTCTCTGTGGGCAGTGGGGCCCCTTATCCGGGGGCAGAATTCCCTGCTCCTTGGCTCACCCTCTCAGGATACTCTCGGTCGACCCCACCCTCACTGATTGCTGCCCCTCACCATCTGGCTGCTGAGCCCCACAGTGCAGCTCAGGGTGGGGGCACCGTGTGGGCTGCTGACTTTTCCCAGTCTTCTCTTTGCCATCCTTCTCCAGCTGGTGGGATCAAGGAGGGTGAAATCCAAGCGATTTCTCAGCCTGGAGTCCTTCACCTTCTTGGAGCTAATTCCTACTCCTTCCTCAGGCCCCACCTCTTCCCTAAGTCGTTCCTGACCCCATCCAGGGTCAGCAGCCTACTCAAACTCTTACAGCAGCCTGCAGTTAGCACAGTGAGGAACAATTCTCGTGTCTAAGTTCTGCTATCTCCACATGGCAGGGACACACATCTTACTAGGGTTCTCCTTGAGGCCCCTGCAGTGCACAGAGTGTATGGGCACCAGGGCGCAGAGCCCACAAGGACTTCAGAGCACAAGGTGGGTGGGTGCACAGTACAGAAGACATGCGGGGACCACAGGGCACAGGGCAGGTGAACGCCTAGTTCAGAGAGCACGCAGGGACCGCAGGGCACAGGGTGGGTGAACACCCAGTACAGAAGGCACGCGGGGACCGCAGGGCACAGGGTGGGTGAATGTCCACTACAGAGAGCAGGTGGGGACCGCAGGGCACAGGGTGGGTGAACGCCCAGTACAAAGAGTATGCGGGGACCGCAGGGCACAGGGCAGGTGGGCATCTGGTGCTCGCTGTGCACAGTACCTCAGTGCAGAGAGTACACGAGGACCACAGGGCACAGAAGTGTCCAGGAAGCACTGGCTGATGAAGGCCTGAGCCCCACATCAGTCCCCTGCTGGGCCTCTGGTGAAAGGGACGCCTGTACAGGAGTGGACACAGACCAGATGACCTCCGTGGGAATAGCGTCCTAGGTAGGTGGGGCTCCCCCAGGAGTTCCCAGGTCAGAGGCGCTGTGGGTGCTGATGGGGTCTGTCAGTGCTCTCTGTGAGCAGAGCCAGCATCAGAGCAGCCTGGGTCAGATTCTGAAGCTTACTCACGTCTTCCTTGGCTGGGCCCCAATCTGCTTGACGGCCTTCTCTTCCGTGTAGAAGAGCAGACTTCTCTGTAGGGTGGAGACAAGCAGCACTTTCTGGCTATAGTCAAGCTGCACAATGGAAGAGGGTTCCTCCAACACCAGCTGGGAGCTGCAGACGCCCTGCCAAAGAGAGTCACGGTGAGCCCACGCCAACCCTCAACGCGGCGTGCTCTACGACGTGAGTGTTGATCTACTCTTCATATTTAAGTTGGTTTGCACCTAAAGTTGATGCTTTAACACAATTTACATTCACTGTCAATCCACTGCAGTAAAGTTACCTGGAAAGGTCCTCACTAATGAAAATACAGCCAACTTTAATATTGACCACCCATGACAAACTAACAGGGAACAAAACTCTTGACAATGGTTTCTACTGGAATGTTCTCAGTAGATAGTTCAAAGAATAGCGCTTAAGTTATACTTAAGTATAATGCCTCAGTTATTCTCAAATGAATGCACATCATGTTGTAAAATAGGTCCAGTGATGCGTCCACATGACCTGGGGACGCTGTTGTCTTCTAGCCTGAGGCTAAAGAGCTAGATAGAAGATGCCTGTCTACCACCACTACCAATCTGATCAGAAGATCCCAGACAGAATGGGGGAAAACATTGAACAAAATTCAAACTTCTCAAAAAGGACAGACTTATTGATCCAATACAGACAAGAGGAACCCCAGACACTACTGCTCTAAGATGCTCTTTGAACTTGGAACTGAAGCCACTTCCAGAGCCAAGTAACAGACGGACTTATAAAATGAATGATATCACCCTGAGTAAGGTGTTCCTTTAAACAATCAACTAACTATAAAACCCAACAGTCAATGTTGACCCGAAGGCAAGGAGGGCAGGGAAGCTAGATAAATCGAAACAGAACAAACAGAATGGAAATAATGGGACTGCTGACACCTTGTGAAAACTGCAGCCCATGTCACAGAACACTGTGTACAGAAATTGTTCAATGGGAACCCAATGTGCTGTGTAAACTGTCATCTGAAACACAATGAAAATACTTGCTAAAATACAATGATCAGTCCTTTAAGGCCATATAATAACCCTTGTCGTCATGAAGCATTTGAAGGAACTGTGAGGACATTGTACCCTTGACAACTGAAAGGGTCGTAGGAAACAGGACATTAGCAAGAAATGGTGTTGACTACGAGAGCCCTTCTAAAAGTTTGTGGAAAGATTCCATTTCTCTTTCCATTCCATTTTTCCTATAAACTTTTTGAAGTGCCTTTGTATATTAAAGAACCAAGGATAAGTTCTGGAAGGCGTTTTACTGTTGAAACTGTCTTTCTTGGCGTCTAGAATCTTTCTACTAAATGCCCATCAACAGAAGAATGGTTAAACAAACTTTGGTACATGTGCACAATGGGACATTATGTAACACTAAAGAACACTGAAACATCGGAAACTGAAGAACACTGTTGTTGCTAAGTGTCATCAAGTCAGTTCTAACTCACAGCAACCCTGTATAGGCTTTCCAAGGAGTGGTCGGTCAGTTTGAACCACCAACCTGGCAGTTCAAACCCACTTTTCTGTCCCATGCATTATCCCACGGCACAACACCAGGGCTCCTGAAGGGCATTATGCTGAGTAAACTTAGTCAATCCCAAAAGGAAGAACATTGCATACGACCACTGCTGTAAAAAGTTAAGAACAGATTTTCTTGCTAAAAGAAACATTCTATGATAGTTACAGGGTGGGTTGGGGGAAGGGGAAACATTTTAAAGTGAAGAGAGGCTGACTACTGTCTCTATAGCTCACTCTTCTGAATTAGCTTCCTGAATCATTTCAGACGTACTGCTGCAACATGGCAGGCAGGTTTTTTTTAGGGGATGGGGAGTGCGGCAGGGCAGTCAGGGAAACAGCAATCAGACTTATTGGTAAAACTAACAGACCGTGAAATTCCCTCTTTGTAGGTGCACAATTCCAGGCATTTGTGCGCGCAGTTGTTTAACCACTACCAAGCCCAAAACAGAGAAACTTCTGAAACCTGCATCTCCCCCAAAGGTGTCAAGGGCTTTAATGAAAGGGGTCATTCTGAGTGATGTGGAGATGTCCACAGACTTTCTTAAGAATACCATGTAGTCTACCACACAGATCTCAAATACTTTTGGCTACACTTAAGCTGTAAGCACTTTGAAAGAAGAGCGTTACATGAACAAAAAGACAATCAATAAATATACTGCATTCTTCAATGACACATGAACTTAAAAAAAAAATTTGTGTCCATACTTCCTCCCATTTTAATTAAAACTTAAGAAAGCTTAAGAAATCACAAAAATTAACACTTAGATATAAAATAAAATCAATTTTGATAGAAAAATGCTAAAAAGGCAATTGAATTTTCAACAAGACAGAATACTTAAAAAAAGACACCCACACAAAAACCTCTGAAAGCAAACAGTTCTAAGAAATACCAATGATCCCATGCACAAATAATCCAGTCACAAAATGTTTAAAAATAAAACTGGCAATAATATGGATAACTCAAAAACAGTTAATTCTGTAAGAAGTAGTGTGCAAGTGGACAAGATGAAAAGGGTCAGCAGGTCACACTCTGAGAACCACTACTTCCAGGAAAAAAAAAATTTTTTTTCTTGTATATTTGTATTTTCCTGTTGCTTAGGATGAAAACTGGGGTAGTCCCTTACACCCTGCAGACCTGAGGCAAAACAGTTGTTATTTATCTTTAAATGATTCTTTAAGTAATTAATTTGTGTGTGTTTTTTTTTTTTTAACCAAGATTTTAAAAGCTTAGTATGTGACATATTCCCACTCTCCCTGAGTCCACATGTGGGAAGAACACAGCCATTAGTCATTGCTCTGAGGAAACGCAGAGCAGCATCCATGCACAGCCATCCCAGAGAGGAAGGGAGACTCAGGGGCAAGGAAGGGGCCCTTCATGGATCCCAGTCTTTGGGGGACATAAGTACTTCATGAGATTTGAGGTGGAAAATGACATGAGAGGATGCATGTTTTTGCAAAATACAGTAAAATGCACTTAATTCCACTGCAAGTTAAATCCAAACTTAAAAACCTCCCTCTGGATTGCCTTATTCATGACCACGATGTCTCTCACGTTCTCTGCTTCTCTCTCTGTACTAGCCATCACGATGATCTCTACTATGGGGTTTATGATGTCGACTCCTTTCTCATGACTTACTATGGTCCCTTTCTCTTGACGGCTCACGTCTTGATGCAGAACCATAAGACTTGAATGCAATTCCACGAAGGCAATCTTGCAAAGAGCTAATAAGGACTTTGTAATGGTCATCAGCAGATACTTTGGATGGTTTAATTACAGAACTTGCAGTTACCAATGTCTCAACTGTTGTTGTTGCCAAGTACCGTTGAGTCAGTTCTGATCTACAGCGAACCTGTACACGGTTTCCGAGGAGCAGCTGGTGAGCTTGAACCACCGACCTTGCAGATCAATTGAGGCTTTGCAGTCTGGCACATTAACCCACAGCGCCACACCAGGACTCCGATGTCTCAATAGAGCTCCCAGAATCACCAGCACTGGCATCAGACACAGCTCTTGAAATGGCACTGCTTGAGACTGCCCTATTTCTCCTCATGATTTCCTCAAACTCAGCTTCACTCAGTGGCGTTCTTGCAGTATCCATTTCCCTTCCAGAGGGCCCACAGTCACCCCATCATATGGTGGAGGCCGGCTACATGGGTCTGCTGGTGGTGGACCCCACCTATCTGAGGTAGGCATGCCGCTGTTAGTTGGTGGAGGAGAGCAAACTGGGTTCACAGGTGGAGCTGGGTTAATGTGCTTGACTGTAAAGTCATTTGAGCTGCAAGGTCGGCAGTTCAAGTTCACCAGCTGCTCCTCGGAAAACCCTATACAGGGTTACTGTGAGTAGGAACCGACTCGATGTCAACAAATAGGTCCCGGTGTGACACTGTAGGATAAGCAAGGACTGCTCACCACAAAGTTGTCAGTTGAAACTCACTAGTTGCTCCTTGGAAACCCTAAGTTGTTGTTGTTGTTGTGAAGTGCTGTCAAGTTGGTTCTGACTCATTGCAACCCTGCATGGGGTTTCCAAGGAGTGGTGGGTGAGTTTGAACCACTGACCTTGCGGTTAAAACCGACACTGAGGTAAAGTACTTATCCCATGGCACCACGATGAGTCAGGACTGACTTAATGTCACTTAACAACAACAACAACATGCGATCAAAACCATGTTCATCATAACACTAAGAAAGTGTCTGCCTTTTCATGGGGTTGCCACTGTACTGTTGGGGCAGGAATCCTGTGACTCAGGGAGCCCAGCCTGAGTGAAGGCAGTGGCACGCAACGCTATACTTCACCACCAAACACCCCCCCTCCAAAAGAAAATGAGTTTCCCTTTGATTCACTAGCAGAATCCTGATCAAAAGGGGGAAATGTGGAACAGAAATTCAGATCCTCATAGAATCCAGACCTTCTGAAACCACTGAGGTTGAATGACTTCTGAAACTACTGCCTTGAGGAAATTTGTACCCATTAAACCAAAACTGTGCCCGGAAATCATCTTTACACTAAATAAAAGTTTAGCTTAATTAGTTTAAAAAAAAAAAAGAAAAAAGTCTGCCTTGAGCATGATGTTCTTTTATAGACTTCTCTCTATGTGGTCAAACTGACAACAGGAACCAAAAAGGTTAGATGAGAAGCTTAGGCACAGTAAGGTTATGTCAGTAATGGCGAAATCCTTTGGAAAAGGATAGGGAGGAAGGCAGCCTGGAGAACACACCCAATGTCACTGACTTCATTGTTCATGTAGAAGTTGTTGAAGGCGCATCCACTTTGCTGTGTATATTTCTGCCCCTTGAGTACAAAGTCTTCTACACTACCCTACATGACAAAGGGTTTTGACGCACAAAGGGTTCTCAAGGCAGCTTTTGTGTGACTGTTGGGTAGTTGGCTGCACCAGCTGCCTTTCCCACAAAACACCATTTCTACTTGGAATACTATAATTATCCAAACTTGGACATTTGGCAGACATGTTCTTGAAGAAAAAAAAAAAAAAAGTGAGCCTGTTGCCTCTAGGAAAACAAGTGATGTTATTTGCTGCTGCTGAAAACATTGGAGCTTTTGAGAGAAGATTAGAATCGTGGACACCTGTATCCAACCCCATGCGTTAACAGCTTCCCAATAGGTAACAGGCTTTTCTCATCACAAAGACGGCAGTATTAGCAAGGGTGATTTTTTTTTTTGACATTTGCATAATCAAATGTGTTGACATTTGGAAGCTGGACATCACTTTGTGAAGTAGTAGTTTCCAAATAACCAATGTAGACAATATCAGAAAACCATGTGTGGGTAAAAAGATCCAGTCGATGTGTAAAACAGAGGAAAAGTTCAATCAGTATGCGTCAGATTCTCCATTTTAACGAACCTTTAAAGAAACCTCTTTTGTCAGGTTGGGGAGTATTATCAAAGAAGAGTACCCATGAGTAGCCAAAAAGGTTATTAAAATATCTCTCCCTAAAAAAAAATCAAATATATATATATCTCCCTTTTCCACCAACAAGTCTGTGTGGAGCCGGACGGACTTTACATATGTCAACTGAAAGAAGGTACCGCCACAGAGTGAATATAGAACCCAGCTGTTTTCTATCAAGTCAGACATCAGAGAGACTGGCAGAAGAGTTAAGCAAGACCACCACACTTTTTAGTTCAGTTTTGCTTTTTTTTTTAAAAGAAAAGGTACATTTCACACACACACACACAAATGTCATTTTTATCAGCACGTCACAGTTGTTGTTGTTGTTTTTTTAATTGCTCTTTTAAAATAAATGAGCAAAGCTTTTGAGATGTCTGTTTTCATTTCTGACCAGGTGCGTTCAATAAACTGAACCTGCACCAACAAATGCTCTGTGAACTCCTAAGTCATTTGGAAGAGTAAGGGGTTCGTCCCTCATTTTTTGGACATGGTTCTCAGGAGGGATCAATCTCTGGAGAGGGACACCATGCTTGGTAAAGTGGGGGATCAGAGAAAGAGCGGAAGGCCCCCAAGAAGACGGACTGGTGCACTGGCCACAGGCACGAGCTCAAGCGTACCAATGACGTGATGACGGCACAGCACCAGGCAGTGTTTCATCCTCTTACACACGGGTTTGCTAAGAGTAAGAGCCGACTCGATAGCACCTAACAACAACAACAACAACAACAACAAGGGGTTCAGAGACCAAACAGGAGGTCAACTACTGCTGATGAATGGCTGAACTAGCTGGCTGTCTTAGGTCAGAAAGCTTAATAGCCACTCACAGCTAGTAAGGGCTGAACCCCTACTAGGAATGACAGCTATAAGAAAAGGACTGCATCCCAAGGATCTGACAGACAGACAACGCAGCAGGACAGACAAAGCCCAGGTAAAGTACAGCAAAGAAGGTGCAGCCTTGGAGCAAATGCTTATTTGGGTTCAGTTCTGCCAGGATTAGCCTATGGTCCTCCCGCTGGGCCCGGTGCCTCCACAGGATGTGGGAGCCAAGAGCTCACAGCTCAGAGCGGGTAGGAAGGTAAAGGAGAACTCCCACCTGCCACTTTCCCACCCCAGGTTCTCTCAGAGGCCAGGGGTGAACCCTTCACCCCCAGACCTGGAATCACTGGCTCTGGTTTGTCCTTGTGACTAGGAGACACTTGGTGGCATCATTCCTCCGACTCTTTCAAGGAACGGGGAATGTAAATGGTCTCATTTCTAAGTAGTGGTAAGAAACAAAACCCGAGGCCAGCAGCTCTTTAGTCACAGAAGTGGGAGATGAGAAACATCAGAAAGTCCCTGGAAGAAAAAGTTACAAATCACAGTTGAGATGATAAAGCGGACATGAACAAGAATGCCGGCAAATAATGAAACAACATATGATAGGGTGAATGTAAAACTAATGTTCTCCCATGTAAACTATCACATCATTCACAATGAAACATTAAATAAAAAAAAAAAGAATGCCGGCAAGTAATGAAATGATATACGATAGGATGAATGTAAAACTAATGTTCTCCCGTGTAAAATATCACATCATTCACAATAAAACATTAAAAAAAAAAAGAATGCCAGCAAATGAAAACTACAACTGACCATCTTCCCATCTCTAAGAACTGGGAAAAGCCCACCCCACCTCTGAATCCCTCTTTACCTGGTCTAGATCCAGAGAAGAATAGACGATTTTCCCTCTGTCGTCTCCTGAGAACAACTTCATGCCATTGGGACTCCAGGCCAGAGCTGTGATGCTGTTTTTGTGAATACTGGCAACATCAAATCTTCGCAGCTACTCACAGACGACAGAACGACACAGAAGGAGAGGAGGAGGCAAGGGCTGAGACTCCAAGGGCACACATTCCCTCCTCTCTCTGAAGGAGCTGCTTTTCACAGTCTTGTGTTCCTACACACGCCCACCTGAGGTCCCACCTGCCCCCCATCTTGCAAACCCATAGAGAATGTACCAGAGAATGAAGCAAACTGCAAACCACCCACGTGCGTTTTTCGTCAGGAACAAAAATGTAGACAGCACAATGTAACATTTTTCTGAGCATACATGTGCTGAGCAGGTGAGGATTCGTGGTTTTAAAGCCCAGGAGGCATTTGGTGAGGAGCTAAGTTACGCTACAACCGTGAAGGCAGACTAGTTGCTGTTAAGGAATTCTCACTCACAGGGACCCTGAGGGGCACAGGAGAACTGCCCCACAGGGCTTCCCAGGCTGGCACCTGTAGGGAAGCAGACTGCCTCAGCGTTCTCCCATGGAGCCGTTGGTGTGTGAGAACCGCCAACCCTCCAGTCAGCAGCTAAGTGAGTAAGCACTATGCCACCAGGGCTCCTCACATGGTATGTCCTCACCTGCCTGTTTCTCCCCGGCAGCGAAGACACCAGCTGAAACACTGCCACCCTGCCTGAGGCTGTGCCCGCAGCCACAAGGTCGTCGAAGCAGCTCAGCAGCTTTACCACCGTGATGGACTCGGTTCGGCCCTGGAAGACAGAAAAGTTGCAAACAAGGGCCCCTGCTACCAGGTAACTCTGCCAAATGGCAAACCAGGAAGCAGCAGGCTGGCAGGAGAGCTCCACCAAGTGCACTCGTATTTCCTGACAAGCAAGACACAAACACCAGAAAGAGAACCCAGAGCAGGCACTACAAATGGTTAAACCAGAGGTGGTGCCAATAAGTCATTCCTCAAAGCCAAACCACGGCCATCCCTCATTTACCACCTCATTTAAAAACAGACTTTACTGTCCTTGTTGTTAAGTGTCATCAAGTCAATTTCAACCCATAGCGACCCTGTATAGCATTTCCGAGGAGCAGCTGGTGAGCTTGAACTGCTAACCTTGCAGTTCAAATGGCTTTGCAGCCTGGCGCATTAACCCACAGCGCCACCCCAGGACTACTGTCCTAGCTTTGTTGAAATAGCAATCTGGCAGTGTTTCTGTTATGCATACACAGGGTCACTGTGAGTCGGGACCGACTCGATGGCACCTAACAGTCCCTCCGTGGTGATAGATCTGAATAGCATCAGACAGCCTATGAGAAGACGCTACAGTGTAAGATGAAACGCGCACTGAGAATGGAGGGTTGTGAGGCTAACACTGGGCTGGGTGTGGGGGGCACAAACAAGTGGGTCTTGTAGTTTAGGAAAGGAGCCAGACTGATCAACAGCTACCAGACTGGCACAAACGCTGCTGGGAATCATGGAGCAATTCCTGGTCCAGTCCCTGTGAACGCTGGACAAATCGGGAAGAGTCCCACAGAGGAATGACCTGAGACAGAGTCCCTGGCCAGGGTCACACACACTGCGGGGCTCCAAGGGTATCTCCTCGTCCTCTGTCCGTCTCTTCTGATAGGAGGACGACCCAGACTTGGGTGTCATTCTTCTGTCTCTTTAAGGTGTCTCTGCCCAGCTGGAGCTCATCTATTGTATGCTGAACTTTCCTATTTCCTGAAGTTCTAACTTTCAAGACAGCGCATTTCATGTTGCCCCCCCTTTAGCAACTGTAATTTCTTCACACAGAATTACAGTCAATAAAAAACCTAAGGGAAAAAAAAAAGGCTTTTGGTGGGAAGGTTTTCTGGGCAAACACTTTGCCATCAGGCTGCCACTTGGCTAACCTTAAGCTCCTTGGCAGGCAGTGTTCCCTTTACAAACAAGACAAAACGGCACCCAAGAAACAGTGGTCATTGTGAGCAGAATCATGGGAACTGTGGCGTCTGGCAAGGCTTTCTTATTGAGCTTCCTTTGCTGGACAAAGCTTACCCATCAGTTGAAACCACTAGCATATCAATAACACATTAGAAACATATTGAAACATTTAAGAACACTCATAGAAGAAATGAAACTATTCAATTCATATGAGCTGCCTCACCAGTATTTTTATCTTTCTTTTTTTACTAACAAAGAACAGTGGCTTAAAACTTGAATATTCATACAACTTTCTAAAGATCTAAAAGCGAAACAGAAGCACTTTACTTGCTTAAGTCCAGAGGGCGAATGGAGAAGAGAATGTCCATTGGACCTAAAACAAGGAGCTGGACTCTTACCATTGGAGACCTTAAAGAGAGAGAAAAATGCAGATTCTCTATAAAGCGAAGCAACTGATGAGGGGGATCAACCTTCATTTCTTTCCTCATATTCATATCCAATTTCCCCAAGCTATTTATTGAGACAACTCTGTAATACCACTGTTATGCCCGGAATTCAGGGTCCCCAAAGACCACCCAGGAGCCGTGTACCAATGCAAATACATAAGGGTTGTTTAATCAAGCTCGAGCCAGGTCTCTAACCTTATCCGACATTTCGGAATAGGGAAAGAGCCCCGAATTCATTGTCTGCAGGGTTTTTATAGAATTTTCAAACAGCTCAGGTTTCTCAGCTTTACAATCTTTGGATTGGTTAACAATTGGCAAACTATGAGATGTTACAGTTTAATTGGTCAGGACTGGTGGTCTTTGTTCTTAGGCGAGGGTAAAGGAAAACATCTTGGCTTCTGGCCTTGAGCTGCCTGGCTATTTATACATATATCATATTCTTGGAGCTAGAGGACGTGTTCAGGCTAATGTACAGAATGGAGATTGACCTTGTCTCTGGAGGGAACTAAAAACTGAGGCCTTGTCTATTTAAAATGCTTTCCTGAGCCTGACTAGAGTTTAGTCAAGCAGTCTCTAGGTAGGTAAAATCAGTTTGGTCCTTACACTACCTTTGCAATAACTCAAGTATGCACATACATACATGTGTTTTCTGACTTCTCTATTTTGTTTCATCAGTCTATTAAAACTTATGTCAATATCAAACTGCCTAATCATTGAAGTTTCAATCATCTTGTTTTCCAAGAGAGCACTTCTACCATTCCAAAGAGAGGTGATCCAACTAATTGTGGAAATCATAGGGCAATATCATTAACATCACATTCAAGTAAAATTTTGCTGAAAATCATTCAAAATCGCTGAAACAGCACATTGACAGGGAACTCCCGGTACAAGCCGGCTTCAGACGAGGACGTGGAATGACGGATATCACTGCTGGCATCAGCTGGATCTTGGCTGAAAGCAGAGAACACACCAGAAGGATGCTGACCTGTGCTTTATGGACCATGCAAAGGCTTTTGACCGTTGAGAGTCAGGACAAGCTACGGACAACACTGCAGAGAATGGGTATTCCAGAACACTATTCGTGCTCTTGAAAAACCTGCCCATACACCAGAAAGCAGTTGTTAAAATAGAGCAAGGGAACACTGAATGGTTTAAAGTCAGGAAGGGTGTGCGCCAGGTTTGTATTCTTTCACCACATTTATTCAATCTGTCTGCTGAGCACATAACCCAAGAAGGTGTATTTTATGAAGAACTTGGCATCAGGATTGGAGGAAGACTCGTTAGCAATCTGTGATAAGCAGATGATATACAACCTTGCTTGCTGTAAGGGAAGAGGATTTAACATGCTTACTGATGAAGATCAAACACCACAGTCTTTGTATGGATTGCACCTCAATGCAAAGAAAACAAAAATCCTCACCTCGACCAACAAAAAAATCACGGTAAGTGAAGACTGCCAGAGTCCATTTTGTTTGGATTCACAATCAGCACTCATGGAAGCACCAATCAAGAAATCCAACAATGGCGGTCCAGGAATGGAGGACACTGGGACCATGGAGGGAGAGGAGCAAGAGCAGAATGTGGGACCCTATCAAAAGGAACGGCGACACCCGAGATAGACGCAGAGATGAGGACATGGAGAGACAGAGCAGCTGAGGACTCTGGACCCATGGAGAGAGAAGGACTGTGTGCTGGTGGCCAGGAGGGGGCTTGCAGAATGTGCCCTTTTGCTGTTTAAATTATTTATATATTCCTGAGTGTTTTGGTGTATATCCCCCAAACAACAAAGAGAGACAATAGAAGCAAATATTGTTGAATGCTGATGCACGGAGGGGATTGTAATCACTGCAATGAAACGATGAGTGTAAAACCGACGTTCTCCCATGTAAACTATCACTCAATTCATAATAAAAACTTAAAGTTAAGCACAAATGGCTGCCAAAAAAAAAAATCAAACAATGTATTTATTGCATTAGGCAAATCTGCTGCATAAGATCTCTTAAAATTGTTCAAGAGCAAAGATGTCAGTTTGAGGACTACAGAGCGCCTGATCTAAGCCATTGTATTTTCAATATCCTTTTATGCATGTGAAAGTTGGACAGTGAATAAGGAAGGCTGTAGAAGAATTGATGCATTTGAGTTACGGGGTTGGAGAAAAATATTAAAAGTACTATGGACTGTAAGAACAAATAAATCTGTATTGGAAGAAGTACAGCTAGAATGCTATTTAGAAGCCAGGATGGTGAGACTTTGCCTCTCACACGTAGGATATGTTATAGGGGGGACCAGTTCCTGGAGAAGAACATCATGCTTGGTAAAACGGAGGGTCAGTGAAAAAAAGGAAGCTCCCCAAGAAGATGGGTTGGCACAGTGGCAGCAGCAATGGGCTCAAGTGTAGCAACAATCGTGGGGATGGGGCACGACCAGGTGGTGTCTCGCTCTGTTGTGCACAGGGTCGCTCTGAGTCAGAGCTTAAGGGCATTTAACAACAACAAACTTCTTCCAACGTGCTCTTTTTCATTAGCATCCTAATTCTGCTGCTGCTGCTGGCCTGTATGAGGTTTCTGAGGATCAGTCGATGGGTTTGAACCGCTAACCTTGTGGCTAGCAGTTCAGTGCTTCTCCTACAGCACCACACCAGAACTCCAATTATTCTTGGCCCATTACAACTTTACATACATTGTAAAATCAGTGTGTCAATTGGCATTCTGAAAAAAATCTATTGGAATCAAACTGCATTTATAGATCCATTTAGGGAGAATGGCCACCAGATGAATACATTTTGTTACGGAGTCGCGGCCAAAAAGATTTGAAAGTAGATTCCCAACAGCTAATGAACAGGAGCAATCCATCCTGTGAAATCACGGGCACTACAGGTTACTTCCACAGGGAGAGAGAAGCTGTCAGGCAAATGCACTTTGGGTGTTATTTGTTACTGTTGTTAAGTGCCAACGAGTCAGTTCTGAGTCAGTTCTGACCCATAGAGGCCCTGTATAGGGTTTCTGAGGAGCGGCTGGTGAGTTTGAACTGTTGACCTTGTGGTGGGTCGAGTGCTTATCTAACAGCATCATGCCTGGATCGGAACTCTTTATTTCTGTGTCACATTTAAAAGCAAACCAGGGTTCCATTCAATGGGGAGGGAATAATCTCCTCAGTAAATGGTGCTAGGACAACTGGATCTCCACATGCAGGAAAATGAAGTTAGATCCATATCTCATACCACATGTGTAAGTTATTCAAATAGAACAGATCTAAATGTAAGAGCTGAAACCATAAAACTCTTAGAAGAAAACAGGGCAAATGCTTTGAGACGGCAGGGCAACGAATGATTCACTTGGCTCTTTGTAACACCCACCACACCATGCCTGCCTCTTCTGGATGGGTCTGGGTA